AATGTAAACATTGATTATCTGCTGCTGTGGAATGCAACAGGTGCATCTGTAATTGGTCTCATCAGAGTTGTTTGTAATTAATGGCCAATCACAGCCCAGCTGGCTCAGGCTCTCTGTCCAAGCCACAAACCTTTGTTATCATTCCTTTCTGTTCTTAGCCAGCCTTCTGATGAAATCCTTTCTTCTATTCTTTTAGTATAGTTTTAATATAATATACATCATAAAATAATAAATCAGCCTTCTGAAACATGGAGTCAGAGCCTCATCTCTTCCCTCATCCTCGGACCCCTGTGAACACCGTCACAATCGACACTCCCAGCTCAGTGTCATCCACAAATTCACTAAAGAAAGCCTCAATCCCCTCATCCGTCCCTTGCCATGAAGGATGCTGGGTGCAGCCCCAAAGGCAGAGCAGGGTGGGTTTTGCAGGAGGGGTTCAGGCAGTGTCCCCAAACATCCCCTCAGGATCATGGGCTGGGAGGGAACCATGGGGCAGGACAGGAGCCATGGCAGGGAGGGCTCCAGAGAGCTGCAGCTGCAGGGATTATTAGGCAGAAATTAATCTGTAAAGAAAACTTAGCAACAGTTAGAGCAAATATTGATTTTTTGTTTGTCTGCTTGCACAGGGCCTGAGAAATGGCAGATTTAGACATTAACTGGGCTGTTTTGGCTTAATTCAAACCTCGATTTACACTGACCCTGGGAATAGACCAGTACATCAGCAGAACTGAATTTAAAATTTCTATTTTTTTTTTTTTTCTCTTCTCTTATCTGGTCCTTTTCTGCAGATCTGACAGCAATTTTGGCACCTGCTACCTCCTGTACAATTACAGATGACTCTATTTTCACAGCCAGGCTCTGGGCTCTCCCTTCCCCAATGGACTGAATTAAGCACTTTCAGCAGCCCAGTGCCCCTGGCTGAACTCAGAACTGGGCACAACAGAATGGCACCAAAACCCAAAAAAAAAAACCCAAACCCCATCTTTAAAGACATCACTGTTGTACAAGGCATCCCATTCCCTGGGCTGGCTGCCTTGCTCAAAGTCAAAGCTTTGAGTTAACTTTCCAAAACTGAACAAATTTTGAAAAAATCTAAGGGGGATTAGGAATCCAACATCTATTTATTTTCCTACAGCATCTATTTAGAATTTTGGGAAAACAAAACCAAACATAAAGCATTTACAAACACAAACCTGCTATAAAGTATTAGATTTGCCTTTCACAAGCTGTTCTGGCCACTGCCAGCCACACTGGTACAGGCCAGAGGCTGCCCATGGCCAGGGGAGGTGACCCTGTCCTTGTCCTTTAGGTAGTTTTGCTGAGTCTTTTCACACCAAGGGTTTTAACTCCCTGAAATTTCTCATTCCTAACATCTTCTCAGTGGAAGCATTTATTTCCTCATCCTGGACCCTTTAGTTTCCACAGGAAAATGTTTTCCCCTGACCTAGTACCATATTTTAACATTTGATTATTCTGTTCAGGCAGAGATGAAGAACTGCAGTTTTCTCACTCCAGAAACAGGGGCAGGCAGGATTTCAGTTCCCAAATCACAGTTACTTTCCTGTCCAGCTGCAGCCAGCCCTTAGCACAAGTGGTCTCCATCTCTTGCAAGACCCAGGAGCTCCTCAGCTATTCCTCAGCACGTGCCTGCCCAGCTAGAATCATCCTTTTAATTTCCCAAATCTCTAAACCCACAGGTCAGAGTGTCAAAAAAAGCACATGGGAAATTCTACAAGGTTATTGCTGAGCAAGTACTCAATAAAACCCATAAGCAAAGGTAGGAGAGGAAGCACTTTGCTGCTGTCAGTAATCCCCAGGATCAAAGCATTTTTTGGCACAGCAGAAACCCTGGACCTCCCCACCCCAACCTCAGCACCCTCTTGCACTCATCCCAGGGTCCTTTCCTGCACTGAGCAGTGATAAAGCCCATGGAACATCACTGAGGTGTAACCAATTAATATTGAGCTATTAATGATGCTGTAATGGAGAAATTCCCCTACTCTGTCACTAAGGAGCCATCAGAGGTCAGCAGGGCAAGGCTGGCTTGCAGCAGGAACTGCAGCCAGGCCAGCAGGGTCTCCTGCCACAGCTGCCAATATCTGGGGAGCTCCAAAGCCTTGGAATACACACATGGATCCCATGCCCACAGAGCCCTTGCTTTGCCAGGGCTGGTTTCATACCCTGTTCCCTAGCAGGGCCTCATCATTTATCTTTTTCTTGTATTTCCTTCAAATGCAAGAAATGCCCAAAATACGAAGAATTTCTCTGTTCACCACTTGCATTCCTCCAGGTCAGATATCTCTCTCTGTGGGTGTGGAACCAAGAGTCCCCTGTGAGCAACCTGCTGTTTGCACAGGCTTTAGCAGAATTAGCTGTGAAACGAGATAAAAAGGTGTGAAATCCCTCTGAGCAACAGATAGAGCCCAGCAGCTAAGAGCCCTTGGAGGGACACACAGCAGCTCCCACACTGCTGACCACGGAGCCGTGTGAGCTCAGTGCTCCTCAGCCACACCAGGCTCCATCCAAAGTAAGATTGCCAATAAAAAAAACATGGATCTCCTTTTTTAATCTCCTTACTCCATTATTTTTACTCTTCCCAGGTTCTTTAAGTTTGTCCTAGCTGGAAACAACGTCCTGTTAGCAGTCAGGGCACTGCCACAACCCAGGAGCTCCAGCTATGATATTCCCTTCCCACTCCTGGTAAAAAGCTTTTCAAAAACCCTTTTAAAATAATTTTAAAACCCTTTTTCCATGTCTGGACTCAACCAGAGAGTCATCTGATCTGTTGTGGAATGCAAACTACCAAAAGACAAACTTTAAAGTCAAGTGGAATATGGAGTTTGTACAAGAAGCTGGGCCATGGGAGGGGATTCCTCCCACACACAGCCAATGCTCATGGAACAATTTCATCCTGGTTTTTCATTTAAAGCTAAATTAAACATCTAGATTCCCCTCTGTGAATGAAGGTTGGGTCACTCTGTGTCACTGCAGAGGCCTCAAGGGACATAAGCCAGGGACATGGAGCCTCAGGCGGAACTCCACAGGCAGCATGAAGTTCAACTTCCATGAGATTTTAACTGGAAAGAAAGCAGAGCATCCAAACTCACAGGAAAAACAAAGTACGACCATTTTTACCTCACCAATGTCAATTCCTGGGCCCCAGGACAGCCAAACCACACTGGCAACCTCAATACTAGAAGAAGCTCCCTTTTCCAATTAAAAGCTAATTCTTTATTTTACTCATCAACTATGCCAGACCTTGGTATTTTTGTGCCCCTTGAGCTTTCTCCATAAACGTTCTGCAGTACAGGACAGCCTGCACTGCCTGGATTTACAGCCTCAGAGAAGCAGTTTATTCTGTCTCATCCTCCTTTAATTTGGGGACAGCTCTCAAACAGAGGTGCCAGGCTCACAGCCTGATTTATCCTGCAGCAGCCCCTGCCTGCTCACAGCTCCAGGAATTGCAATTCCAGGCTTGGGTTTGTGCAGTCACCAGTGCAGGAACAGCCCAGCCCACCAAAGCCCCAGCAGAGAGGGATGGGTTTATGACGATTTTTCTTAAAATAACACCAGAATGGGAGCAGCTAAAGCCAGGCTTTCAGACAAGTGGTCCCAGCTGTCTTTCCAAAGCAAACACAGCAACACCGAGAAACAGAAATAAAAATTACTTCATGGATTTGCTCTGGCCCTGAGCTTGTAAAAATGAAAAATTAGCTGGGTTTCTAAACCTCCCTTATTTCCCAGGATCCAAGGTTTTATTAACAAGTTTGTCAGCAAGGATTTTTTTACTCTATTTCCAGCACAAGCCACAACATGAAAGGAGATTTGTACAGCCCAGCTCTGGTTTTGCACCCTGGGGTGGGCACATCTTTGCTGTGTGCACAGCCCCAGGCAGAGGCAGATCTGCCAGGCTGGCTCTGGCCATGGAAAGCACAGCACAGCTCACCCAAAAAAAGCTCTTCCTGTTCCATCAAGCTGCTCTGCAGTTTTCCCAACACCTTTCCAATTGCAAAGTTAATATGTTGCTAAAATCCCCACATTCCATCCTTGGCTACCTCAAACCTGGGCAGTGCTACTGTTCCCACACTGGATAGATACATGGAGCAACTTTAGTCTCCAAAGGAAGGGCGACAGAAAAGCTTTGCTACATCACACACTCCTGCTGCTGTTCTCCAGCCTCCATCCACCTCTGCAGAGATCTGAAATCTGATTTACATAAAGTAGCCAAAACTTCAGAACAGCTGATGAAACTCAGTGTGTGTGTGGGGAGAAAATCCCTTCTCCCTGCTGAAAAGCCAACAAGAATTCAACAACTTGCCAGGACAAAAAGCAAAGAGCCCACACAAACCCCAGCACTTTGCTGCCTTCCCCCAGTGCTGTGAGGCAGAGGCAGAGTCCAAGGGACGTGAGCACCATCATTTATTGGAAGAGGGAGCACAGTCGTGGGGAGAGGCCCCTGCTGGAGCCATGGCAGCACAAAGCAGCCCCACAGGGAGCAAGGGGCTCCAGGCACAGCTCACCCCATAGCACCACAGCCTCCCTCCTCCTTCTCCAGCCCAGGGGACACTCCATCCCCTGGGGAAAGCCAGGAGGGACACTCAAGGCATGCAGGAACCTTCACAAAGTCATTGCTGAGGTACCAGAGCAGCAGCAGGAATCCAGGGATGCTGGGAGGTCAGTCTCCAGCACCTGCTGCTCCAAGGTGCAACACAGCTGCTGCTTCCAGTTCTCCAGAACTCAGGTCTTGCAGAGAGAGGTCTTGCTGTCAGCTCTCCAAGCCTCCCTTGTTTGCCTTTCCATAATGATCCCAAAGCTTGCATTCCACACACTAGCCAGCAGTTAGCCCCATTTATTACAATGTAGATCTACCTGGGAACTGAAGGGAAAAAAGAATCCACTCCCATATACTAAAGGCCTGGCAGAAGATATTTTTTTCCTGTGGTTCCCCCTCCACTTATTAAAAAGGTTTAAAAAATAAGATTAGAAAGCAGAACAATCCTTCATGATAAGATTAAGGTCCTTGATGTGTGACTCTGTTTCAATGTGCCCAAAAACTGTCGAGCTTTCTCCTGCATGAAGAGTTGGTCTCGAGTTCCACCACAGGCCACTGCTTTCCAAGCCCTGGTCATCTGCAGAGGGAAGAGAAAGGATGTGTACAACACAGTCAAGGCCAAGGACAAACATCTCGTGATATCCTGCTCTAAAAGACTGAAAAAATAAATAAAACTAGCAAGGGAAATAAAACTTCAGAAACCATCTCACAGCCAGGAGGACCTTGCCCACCACCAGTTACCCCTCACAGCTGAGGTGGTAATTTCTGGGGTTTAGGGTCGGCAGTTTCCCAGGTGAGTGCTCCACTTCAAGACAATCCCCTTCAGGGCTTTCTCTTACTTGCCTCAAGACAAAAACCCCAAAGCACAAACCTATTAAAATTCACTGCCCTGAAGATATTCCAGAATGATGGAAGAAATTCAAGCACAGCTTTGGAGTTTATTGCCAACCAGTTCAACTCCTACAGGAGCTGCTGGGCCCTGGGTCTGTTTCGATCCAATGCCATCCTCAACAGCAATCTGGTACCTTCAGTTTCAGCACAAAGGAGGAGCCAAAACCCAGGAGTGCTTCAGCCTCTGCATGCAGAAAGGGCACCCATGAGGTGTTTCTGCACTCCAGGAAAGCCCCTGAGGATCCCCTGGTAAATGCCAGGACACAGGCAATGCCCTGGAAATACCTACACTGCAGGGAACCAGGGCTCCAGTGTTTGTCACAGCAGGAATGTCCCACACTGCCACAGAGTGGCTTTGGGCCCACTGAGGCTCAGCCCAGAGCTGGATCAGCTTCCTTAACTAAAAACTGCCTGCCAGCAGCACCAGAGCAGCACAATAAATCCCCAGAGGCAGCAGCAGCACAGACTGCCCTGCTGCCTGTGGGCAGAGGGATTTCACTGCACACCTGTGCTCTGTCACCACAGCAGCTGCCTCCCTGTCACCCCCAAAGTTTATTTATACAGAGCCATTAGCTCTCAGAGCAACACAACCCTGGTGAGGACAGGAGGAGAAATGGAAGTGCTTAGGAAGGGTTTATTTTGGGAAGGAGGAGGAATTACTCTGGCTGAAGGGTATTTATTTGTCAGAAGCAATAGGTTTCACTAGACAGCTCTAATGCAAGGACAGATCTCCCCTCACTGCAGTTTCCTGAGGACAACCCTGCACCTCCAGGGATGGGAAAACACCATCACAGAAGCTCTTAGTTGCAGTTTAACCCCCCAACAAGGACAGCACATGTTTCCATCCCCACTGAAGTTACCAGAGACCTCAAGTGACTTAACCCAAGAAAACACCTACAAAATTATGGTCCAAATTTCCATACACTTAGACTTTATCTAAACCCAGCTAATAGGGATACCCCTCCATGAATGCATCCTGCCTGTGAGTGAAGGTTGTAGAGAGATCTGTTTATGCCCCAGAGGGCATTTGTAGGCTGCTGTGACTCCAGCACAGCTGTGCAGAGCTGAGGAGCAGAGCTTGGTAGCTTGGTAACAGCACCAACCTCAGCACAAGGTACAAGGTGTCACACTGCCACTGGAGCTCTGTACTGCCACAGGGTCAGGATAAAGCAAGATAAAGCCAGCCTATGCTGCCTAAGGCACATAGCCTTCCCCACTACCCATAAATACCCTAAAAAACACAGGGGTGGGAAATACCTTCCTGTTTAACCTTTATACAGCACTTCAGAGTTGCTCTGCCCTGAAAAGCAAAAAAAGATGAGCTTGCTGCTGTCCACTCAAGGAGCACCCACTGGAAAAAGGAAGGTTTACTTTACTGCCAGAGCAGTCATCCAAATTCCTTTCTGGGTGAGGATTTCCATGAGGAAATCCAGGGCCAAACATGCTGAGCAGTGTTGCAGTGTTTAATTCCAATAGAGCAGGCCACAGCTGTGGCTTTGAGGAACATAAAATGGCACCTCTGCCTCAGCATCTCCCAGCCATGGTGTAAAGACAGCCCTGACAGTGCAGGGATTCCTGTGCAGCAGTGCAGAGCTCCATCCCTCACTCCTCAAGGGACAAGGGCTGCACTGCCAGATAAACCCTGCCTGGGAGAACAGTGGCTGCTGCAGGGCTTACCGGTTCTGGTGGTCTGAAATGGCTTGGCATTTTCCTGTAGGACATTTTCTCTGGCTGCACTTGCACAAAGGCTCTGTTGAGCAAACCACTGTCATTCTTCCTGCTCGAGGAGGACAGGTTCAGGGACCTTGACAGGAAATTCACAGGCTGCACCAGGAGAAAAAGTGTAAAGAAAGAAGAAATCCAGCCCTTCATCCCCATGGGCTGTTCAAAGGCAGCTCCAGGCTGCTACTGCTGCTTTGCAGAGTTTTTTCAGAGCAGAGCCTGCTCTGAGCACACAACCCCTCACCTGGGCTCTTTTGAAACACACAGTTTTGGGGAGGGCAGGCAGGTTTTGTGTCATGTCTTCATCCACAATGTCCAGGGCCAGAGATTTTCGGACCTTCTTGATGGGGCTCCTGCGCAGCTGGGGAATGTGGGGACACCAGTGTCAGCACAAAGCCACCCTACTAAGGCCACCCTGGGGGCCCACCAAGGCCACAGCACCCCAGTTCTGCATGGCACCAGCACCTCAGGGGGAAGATGTGTGCAGCCTTCCCCACCACAGGGCACAGCAGCTTCCAGTGCTGCCCTCCTGGCACCTTGAGCCACCAGTTTAGAGTTGGAGCTTTTAGTAGGAAGGGGAAGCCACCAGGAAACTGAGACTTTTCATGCCATCCCACAGCCTTCTGAGAGCCCAACTTGACCCAGGTGCTCCAAGTATGCCAACAAGCCCTGAGCTCAGCATAAACCAGGACACTCCTGGAGGTACTTTAAGCAGGTCATAACCTCAGGCACCTCTTGTTGATTAAAAGAGAACGGCCACAGGGCTAAAAACATTTTGGCACCTATAGCAGGATGAATCAAACCAGCCAAAACACTCCTTAAGAGCACAGGGCAGCTTAGCAGCTGATATAGATGCACAGCCAGCTCACCCCTTGTTTTCTCTTCTGTTTCTCAGGCTTCACATCATCCTCGATGATGAGTTCAATGCCAGCTTCACTTCGGAGCACCTCCTTCAAGTCTTCTTCCAGGTGAGGGGTCTGGGGCTGAGGGGGAAAGGCAGAGAGAGCACCAGGCAGTCAAAATCTCTGTGCTGGGCAGGGTGACAAGCATTCCCCTCAAGGGACAATGGGGTCAGGAGAGCCCACAGAGGGAGGACAAACACAAAATCCTATTTGCTTCCCAGCTGGAAAAGATACGACAGGTTTTCTGCTAGCCTGATGGATTTACAGGATCTGCAGGTGTGGGGACTTATCAGCTGAACCCCAGTGTGCCATCAGACCTGTGTGCACACAAGGCCTGGGTGATCCAGCTCTTCAGGGAGCCCTAGGCAGATCATTTCCCAGTTCCTCAATCCAAGCACTGCAGTCTCATGCAAGGCAGCTTTTGGCATTTTTAGCTGGATTACAGAAGATCTAAAAGTCCTGCAGCTCCTTACAATGAAATGATCACTGTGACAATGTCCCCTTCACCCCTCCCCTCTCAGCCTGGCATTACCAAACTGCCCTTTGTTCTGGCACAGATAAGAGTTTGCTCACAGCCCTGCCCCAACCATCCCCAACCCTGTGCCTCATTTGCATTCATCAGCCCCACAAGGCACAGCCCTGCCCAATAATTACCAGAGGTCTAATTGGTCCATATTTCTCCAGGGCATTTTTGAAAGGCGTGGGAGTGTGAGGTGTGTTGTCCACCACATATGTCTGATCTGGTGTGACAAACCTGGGAGCAGAGAGGGAAAGACAAGAGATCAGACAGGCTGTAACTCACACAAGGCCACAGCCCACCCAGCAGCTGAGCACAACAGAGGTCACTGGCTGTGCCCACAGTGAGCCTGGACACTCACTCCCTGCAGCTCAGAGAAGAGCTGTTTTGGGGGAGAAAACAGTGATTTAAGGAAATCCCCAGCCTGCCTTGCCCCTCTCTTAGTAATACCATGACAAGTACTGAGAGCTGTGTCTGAGCTGGACCAGACTGCTGTGTGGGAAAGGGAGGACTTACGCTAAGTTCTTCTGGAGCAGAGGGGTCTTGTCCCTGTGCAGTGGGGTGGTGACAATCACCTTCTGGCTGCACACAGGTGTGGAGGTCAGGGAGGGGTTCTCCAGTTCTAGTGTATCCTGTTTGCTCCAGAAGTTCAGGAACTGCACAGCACAGGAAAGAAAAATTGAAGACACCCAGTCTCAAGCAGCCCAGCATTGCATCACAAGCCATTACTTTTCCCTAAATATGAGGGAAACCCTGAAGTAGAAACAACCCTCCCAAACCTGTGGGGGTTACAGGCTCACAGTTCTGTACATGGATACACAAAAGTTGCCAGAAGGTCCCTCACATCTATAAAGATTATACACTTCCCATAAAGCTGATACAACTATCAGAGCTACCAGTTACAGAGTAAAGAGAAGTCTCTCCTTGCACTGGTAATCCCAGCCCACCCAACTCAGGCTGGCAAACATGAGGGAAGTCCACGTAACACAAAGTGTACAAGTTAACAGGTCTTGCACTGAGCTGTCTTCAGCTTAAACTATGAGCAAACAACAAGCTGTGTCAGCTCTTTTAGGGTTTTACTTCCCAGCAGCCAGTGAGGGACAGCTCTGCTCCCATAAGGAACAGTGTTTGTACCCAAGAGCCTCTAGGGAAATAAAAACTGTGTTTGTGACATTCACTGATGGCTGAAGCTCAGCTTGAGGCAGGGCATGCACTTTTTTCTTCTCAGACTCACTCCACACATTCCTGCTTTTTACACTCTGCAGAGCTGGACATTATGGGATATTATGGGTCCTGCTCTGGTTTCTTCTTTGTGCTGGGCTTTCATTCAAGTCCATCTGAACCTGCATTTTGGACTCTCCTGTGGTGCCTCTCCCATGTTTTCTGCTGCAGAAACAGAAGAAATAAAGGCCTGGAAGGTACAGCTGGGGAGGGTCTGGACAACAGAGTTGCATTGGGAACTGTACTAGAGAATGCAGCAACGTTTATTTTGATTATAGACACAACTCCACCCCTTCTACATGAGACACTCATGGGTCTGACCACTACAGTGCTCCAAGGTGATATGTGTTGGAGACCACATGTGAGGACAATGTGGGAGTCACAGCAAAGGCTGAAAGATCCTGAGCCCCTTTTGCAACAAAGGCCAGGAGCATTTCCATAGACCCAGAAAGACAGATCTGCACAAGGTGTTTGTTTGCAGTTCAGTCACACAGGCTGGGCAGCAGATAGGGAAAGCAAGTTTACACTAGTGCCACTCTGCTGCCCACAGCTGGGGCAGCAATGCCCTGGGGACAGCAGCAGTGCCCTGGGGACAGCAGCAGTGTGCTCTCCATCACACCCTGATATGCAGATAGGGCTCCTTCCTCATGATGGGCACATGCCCTGCCCCTCACACAGGGTAGCTGGGCTTTCTTAAAGCTGCAGTCACTCCCAGATGGAGACACAGGCTGCTGCTCCCACTGAAGAAGGAAGGGCAGCACTGAAGAGAAGCAGAGCCACAAACCAGCTCTGAGCCTTCTTTTAGTGCAGAACACGCTCTGCACACTGGCACAGCCTCACTCAAGGCAGGAGGAGCACAAAGCCGGCAGAGCTGATGGGCATACATGACATTAGGGCAAGAAGATACCTGAGATGGAGAGAAGGGCAGTGCCTTTACAGGGGTGCCCTTGGGCGTCATGCTGTTGCAGGAGTCCAGGAAGGACATGCTGGTGCTGGTGACGTTCTCTGTGACAGGTGAGAGGGAGATCTTCCTCTTCTTCTGCCTCTTCAGCACCGAGGGGGGGGTGCCAAAGCTGCCCTCAGCGTGGGGGGAGATGGGGATGAGCTCTCCCTTGCTGCTCCTGCTCAGGTCAGAGATGGTGTGGCCGTCCAGGCGGTACTCGGTGACACTGGGCAGTGCCGGGGCTGCCTCGCCGGGCGCTGGTCTGGCCGGGCTGGCGCTGCCACTGCTGCTGCCAGCCAAGGGCTCCTCAGGCAAGTCAAACTGGGTCAGGTCACACCACCCATCTGGGTCCTGCACACAAGAGAAAGCGTCAGCAGCTGCCCAGGGTGGCAGCTGAGCAGACAGACTGGTGAACTGGGAGGTGAAATAAGTGAGGGTGTGAGATGGCACCAAGCTTTGGAAGGAGCCTGGGCAGGGACAGCTCAAGCCCTGCTCTCCTCTGCCACAGGCAGAGCAGGGATCTGACCCAGCTGAGAGCTGCTGCTTGTGCACAGGGCAGGTTTTTCTATTTATGCAAAGCTGGTTTCCCTGTTTGGTTAACAGCACAGCTGCACAAACAGCTGCAACCCTTCAGAGAGGGGACAAAAAACACCAGCTGGGCAGAGGGCTGGGGACAGGGACTGAAGGAAGAACTATCACCCAAGAGCAACCCACAGTCTTGAGCACACCTGTAGAGCTGGGCACAGGGCTCTGGTGTAACCTGAACAGCTGAAAGCAGATTAAAACTAACCCCCAGACCAGTTCAGAAGTGAGCTGCTTCACAGCTCCACCCCAGCAGCAACACCCAGCACCACACAAGCAGGCCCCAAGGGCCACAGATGTGCTGCTCAGCCTCAGGCACACCATCTTGCTATACAGAGGCAAAGTGACTCCTTCATGCCTCAGGAAGGCTGAGGGCTGCAGAGGCAACTTCCCTCTGATGGCAGCAAAGTGCCCTGTAGATTTTAGCCAGCCTCCCACCCTGGTGTGCCTCTGTCACTCAGGGGACCTCAGCACAGCTTGACTGGCTGAAAATAACTAATTTCAGTGAAGCTACCTCCACTGAAAGCAAATGGCTGCAGTTATGCCAGTGTGAAGGGGTCTGTCCTGCATAGTACAATGGGCTTGGCTTATTCCCAGTCTGTCCTGTCCTATCACACCCCAGGACAGGACAGAAAGGACAGTCAGTGAGCATGGGCCTGAACTGTTACAAAAAGGAAAGCTGGGCACATTCTGGCTGACAAAGAAGGGCTGGAAATCAAGTTTGCCAGCACTTACAGCCTCCCACACAGGCAGAGCCCATGCACAAGGACATCCAGTTAGGAAAAGTCACAAGCCCACAGCAATACTGGCAGAGCTGGAAAGATCTAATCCAGCCCTGGAAGACAGGGGGAGGCTGCATGGCAATGACAGACCAAGTCTTCCTCAGGGTGATGATCAGGGGGATCCAGTAAGTTCACTCAAACAAAAGGGGTAAGGATAACACCCTAACAGTAACTGGAGGAACAAGGGTCTGTTACTTACAGATTCAATCATGTCCAGAGCTTCACTGAGGGCTGGGGCACAAGCTGGGTACAAATAGTTGGCAGCTTCAACAACCCATTTGTAAGGTGAGTCCTCCAATGAAGTGCCATCCTCGGGCACTGCATCATCTGGGGTCCCCTCCACGTTCTGTTCTGCCACTTCTGCAGCTGGCAGCTCCAAGGGCAGCTCCTGCACACCTGTCACTTCCTCATCACTGACATCTTCTTCCTTTATTTCAGAGACATCCACTGGCCAGTTTGGCAGGACATTCTTGGCACACACACAAAGAAAGACCAGACATCAGCAGAAAGCAAGGGAGCAGTGTCAAACCTTGGGGACAGAGAGCACCTGGACACATTCAGCTTTGCCCACCCTCCTACCTGCCACTGGGTTTGTTTCACATCCCCATTCTCCCTCACTGCTCTGTCCCATACACTGCCTAAGGAGTCCATGCAACATAATGAGCACAGGGCTCTTTAATTGAAGATTTCATTTAACAGTGCCCCAGGAGAAAGTTGTACTTAGGCTGAGCACGTAGCACTAGTTCTGTTTCCTATTTATCAGGAGCCTGCCTTCAAAAACTTTATGCTATCTTCATGAAAATAATCACTGGGTGTACTTCCCTGCTTCCTTTTCTAGAGGAAAGGAACACTGTATCTCTTCACCCTGCTCCTACACATACACCGTCTGGGGCAGCCTCCTCCTCCCACCAGCAATAGCACAATGAAGCCAAAACAATATTCAGGGTCTAAGACAGGCTTGATGCTGAGATTGGCAAGGTAACAGCTCTAGCAGGCTGCTGTCCTCTGCCTGGATAACACATTCAGGCTCCTGGAGGGAAAGATCTGGGAGGCTGGGGAAGGCACAGACTGTCCATGCAGACACCAGGCTGTGGAAAAGGCAGCGAGAGGCAGCAGAAGGGTGGATGAAGAGCTCCAGAATGCATTAGCAGGGCAGGGACTGACCCTGCTCCAAGTGCAGTACCTGGCTCTCAGCTGTTGTCTGACTTTGCTTCTCCTTGTTATCCACCTCCACAAGCAGATACAGAGACTTGGACTCCTTGGTTTCATTGAGGAAACCTCCCGTGTCCACCTTCCTCTTGATGGTGGAGTTCCAGTGATTCTTCACAGCATTATCAGTCCTGCAGAGAGAGCAGAAGGGAACAAACCATCACTTTCAGCAGCTTTAAAGCACAGCTAGCAGCTCCACCACCCTGCCCAGCCCCATCCCAAGAGCCTAACACACAGATCTGCCAGTGGGGAAGGCAGCAGTGAGCAAAGGGGTCCTACCTCCCAGGCAGCAGCTTGGCAATCTCTGCCCAGCGGTTCCCCAGGACCTTGTGGGCCTCAAAGATGATGCGATCCTCCTCCTCTGTCCACGAGGATTTCTTCACCTCAGGGTTCAGGTGGTTGTGCCAGCGCTCCCGGCACTGCTTCCCCAACCTCCCCTTCAGGTGCTTGGCTATCAGGGTCCACTGCTTGGTGCCATATTTTTTAACCAGTTCAATCACCTTTGGAGAGAGTGGGAGGGGAATAAGGAAATGGAAAAAAGGAGGGGAAGGTCAGTGCAGTGATCTTCAGGCTTTGCTCTTTGCCTTTCCTGGGACCAGGTAAGGGCACACAAAGGAAGGGCCCTTTGGAGGACAAGCTGGAGGGAGCCAGCAGGGCTATCAGGTGTTCCAACCCTCATGAGAGCAATAATTCTGCCAAATTTCTGCAGGAGGCTCTTTCCATGCAGACATTTTGCCACAGGGCACCTGTAAATGCAGATGACCCCTGACAGAAGATGGGGTGGAGACTGGCAGGTGCCCAGATGTAGAAACACATTCCCATTTCTGAGCAAGGGCCAAGTCCCACCTGCTCCAGGGCTCCTCTGCCCTCCCTACTTGCAAGGACCTTGCTGTGTGACAACTGTCCCCATCAGTGTGGTACACCCAAGACAGACAAGGCTGCAGCTCCATGCCCTGACAGCACCAGGACACACAGAGAGAGATTTAAATTCACTTCAGAACCATCCACTTTGCCTCTTACCCTCCACCCAGGGCTTTGTCACTTCTGCCAGAGCTCCAGCACACATGTTTCTGGGCACTGAATCCGCTCTGGGCTCCTAAAATATCCAGCGCACAGTCAGGATGAAACAATCTGCAATGTTCACCAAAATCCTGGCTGAAGAGTTCTCAAAGAACATTTCTACCCTGACCAGCTGTGCTGAGCTGAAAGGTGCAGGTAGAAGTGATGCTCATGTAACAAATGTCCCTGCTGCAGACTCTTGCCTTTCAAGCACAGAAAAATGGACCAAAGATGCCAAACTGAGGCCAAGGAGCTGGGCCAAAGCAATGGGGAGAGAGCGGGAGCCCAGCCTGGCCAGGATGGGTAGGCTGGCAGTCAGGACAAGGCAAAGGGAAGGGGAAAGCAGGCAACAACTTCTCTGCTGTAAGAACAGGGAACAACATCAGGAGAAGCTTCCTTAGGGCTTGACAAATCATAATGGGACCAAAAGGGAAAGAAGCTGGGGAGCAGGAGTGTTACAGAGAATCTGACAAACTAAGATGTTCTGTACCAGAAAACCTTGGTAAAATTGGGATCTCACTCCAACTTTCCTAAAGTACAGATGATGAGTCTGTCTGAGCTGGCCCCTCTTGGCTGGCTCTGGATTCAGCAGAGAAACAGGCTCACAGAAGTCATGATTCACCCAGCCAACCTCAGACATCCACTCCAGCCTGCCTACAGTGGCACAGGAAATGCCAGTTTTATTTTCTCTTAGATCCAACCTGGCCAGGCCAGGTGGAGACCTGCCAGCAGGCAGATGAATTAATTCCCTTTTCAGCTCTCTCCCTTGGCAGCTCTGTACTGTAGCAGCACTGTGTGAAAGAGGGAAGGTGTTTACCTGAAGGGGCCTAGATCACATCACATCACATCACATCCCAACCATGGCTGCCTGGGCTGCTCAGGGCAGGACAGACAGAGCTGCTCTCACAGGTACCCACCACAGGGAGCAATTACACACAGTGTGCAACACCTGAGGAGGGGTCTGACATCTCCACCCTCTCTGCAGACAGAGACAGTCCAACACTCTGATCCTCTCAGCCCTGACTTACCTTTTGATCCTCCTCTTTGGTCCACGGGCCCTTAACCAGGTCTGGATTCAACACCCTGAGCCAGCGGTACTGACACTGCTGGTCACTGCGGTTCTGGGAACAGCAATGGGAACATTCTTGTGTCAGACCAGGGGCTCCAGAGGCCCAGAAACCTCCCCAAGTGACAGCAGTCCCCATACACCCAGGCTGTCCCACAGAGCACCTGCACAAGCACACAGAGAACACAAATGGAGGTCCTGGGCCCAGGACACCAGACACAGGGACAGGAACCTCAATTTCTCACCCCAACTCCCATACATTCACCATGGAAAGCGTTCTATGCCCTGAAGCAGCCCCATTTCACAGCTTGGAGCTATGAAGTTAGAACAGTCAGAAAAGAGGCCCACTGCACAGACACAGGGAAGCAGCAACATGCAAACACTGGGATTGATTCCCAGGGTCACTCACAGGAAAGTGGCTGGCCAGGAACTTCCAGTCATTCTGCCCATAATGGCTCACTAACATCTTCAGCTGCTCGTCCTGCAAAGGACAAAAACATCCACTTTCAGATACATTGAAAACACACACCACAGGGCTGTTGACATTAAAAGAACAAGTTAGATGTTTTGAACTGTCAAGGTTTTGTTGGCACTGTGTGCTCAGTGTTTAGCAGCCCTCCAGTACATGGAGGCCAACTGGAACAGACTGGTTCTGAGCTCTGTACTAGGACAAGCTCATACATTAAGTACAAAACAAGAGCTCAGCTCTGTTCCTCTACAGCCTGGTTCAAACCCTGTGACAAGGGCCTGTTTATCCAGCCCCAAAACACTCCTGACCAGACAGTCCATCTCCCAGCCCAGCCACTGGCTTTGTCTGGCCAGGAAAGCTGACTGATTGAAGTGTATCACCACCTGCACAGTGCTCTTCTTTCAGTGCCACAGGACTCTACAGCATTTCTTTTGTGATCCCTGCTATAGCCTGGGTATGCAAACTCCCACAGCTCACAGAAAGCCTGTTAGAGACATCCTTATCTGTGAGCTCTGGATAATTCAATAATGAAATTATTCCCTACCCAACATCAGCCCAAGGCTTTGGTCCCTCCACAAAGGTCACCTTTCTTGGTGTTCTGACCCAGCTGTAGTTTTCACACAGCACAAACTGATACTGAAACTGGGAGGAAGGAAGAGAATATCCCAGTTAACTTCAGGCTCTCAGCCAGGATGACTAAGCCATAATCCCAAGTGTCAATGCTCCAGAAAAAGGAGTACATTTCCACTGCACATTTCAGCTTGTTGGAGGCCTCAGCCATCATCTGGACTCCTCTGTGCTCACAGGAGTGCTGCAGGCAGTGGTGTTTCACTCAGTACTCACAGCGTTAAGTTAAAAATGTTTGAGCTCTTGCGCTTCAGGCTGCACTTCAAACTCCCCTGAACCTCTGAGCCTCATTCAGGCCTGAGCTCAGTATAAAAGACACAAGGTCCTCTCCAGGAGGAGAGACAGGAGGAGGCAAGATCATGGCCAGCAAGTGAGGCTGGGGTGGAGTCACCCAAGCCCAGGGTGCCATGTCAGAGGCACCAGCCCAAAGCACCTATCTTGGCAAATGTCAGGCTCTCACTCACCTCTTCTGGTGTCCACTTGACTTTGCACCTGCCATCCCGCTGCTCTGGCACATCCAAATCCGTGTCCTGATAATGCGGCTCATCCTGGTCCTCGCTAGGCAGGAATAAAGGAAGATTATAATTTCTACCTGATAAAAAAAGCAGGAGAGGGAGCAACTTCCACTACACAGAGCAGAGCTCCAGATCTCCTCCTTCCAGCACCGAGCCCCAAGCTCACCGACACCCACCCACACAGCCCAGACTGAAAGGAGATCCTCCACTTTAGGCGCCAGCTGGCAAGTTTTATTCTGCCCAGGGCAGAGGAAAGAGTATTTCTTTCCATTTCTCTCCCTTCTGTCCCTCGGGGTGGACTTTGCATGGGGGCACCCAGGCACAGCTCAGCAGCTCCCGGACCTCTGGCGCAAAGGGGCGCGGGGATCGGTGCGGGCAGCGCCGCAGGGCTCCCGCTCGCTCCCCGCTCCCGAGCGAGCAGAGCCGGGGCGCTGTCCCAGCGCGGGTACTGCGGGGCCGCCGCCCCGCATCCCGCTGTCCGGCCGGCGAGCGGGAACGGGGCGGCCGGGAGGAGCCTCCGGCGGCTGGGAGCGGGCAGGGGCAGCGGCGACACGGCGGGGCCGGCACTCACCCGCGGGCGCGGCGAGCCATGTCGGGCCGGGCCGAGCCGGGCCGCGCTGAGGGCCGGGCGCGGGTCCGGAGCGGCGGCGCTGGCGGCGCTTTCCTATCTCGCGCCAACGGCGCTCCCCCCGCGCGGGGCCGGGCCGCGCATGCGCGCCGCCCATCCCGCCCGCACAAAGAGGCGCGCGCGGGAGGGCGCCCGCCCGCCCCGCCCTCTGCTCCCTCAGGGAGCCCTCAGCGAGCGGGGACACGGCATCCACACCTGACAACCCCCATCCAGCCCCGCGCCGAGCCGGGACACCCCGCATCCACCCTTACATTGGCCCGGGACACGCGGCATCCAGCCCTACATCGAGCCGGGACACCCCGCATCCACACCTGGCGCCCTGCATTCATCCCTACATCGAGCCGGGACACCCTGCATCCACACCTGACACCCGGCATCTCGCCCTACACTGAGCCGGGACACACCGCATCCACCCCTGAAGCCCTGCATCCACCCTTATACCGAGCTGGGACTCCCGGCATCTATCCCTGATACCCCGCATCCATCCCTACACCGAGCGCGGTCACCCCACATCCACCCCTACACCGAGCCCTAACACCCCACATCCATGCTTACACCGGGCCAGGACATCCCATATCCAGCCCTGACACCAAGCAGGGACACAGGGCAGGAACATCGCACATGTTACAGAACCACAGAATGCTCCAAGCTGGAAGAGACCCCCAAAGATCATCAAAGTCTAACTCCTGGCCCTGCCCAGGGCAGCCATAACAAGACAACCCTGCACCTGAGAGCATTGCCCTAATATTCCAACATATACTGTCTGTATCAATGCGAGGTCTGTACAGGTGTATACTCCTAACCAGCAGTTCACAAAACACAAGGCAAGACTTGAAGTGTCACCTTACTAAGGACCCACTAACAGGACAACCACAAGGCAGCCCTCAGAGTACCTCCTTCAATCAGCCATCACCCACTCTCACTGCCCCTGTGCTTAATAAACAGCAAACAGAAGCTCCTCCCACTCCCAAACTAGCTTAATTAGGAAATCAGCCTGTTAATTGATTACCAGAACTATAAAACTGCTGTAAGTAACACTAGTAGAGAAGGGTCAGGAACATCAAAGGGTCTTCACAGGAGCTGGAGGTACTATTTTTTCTGTTTTCTTATTCCTTCATTTATTTCCGAAATGCTAAAAAAAGCAGGGTTTAGTCTCTTAAAGGCTTTCCTTCTAGACGGGCTATACAGCCCCATTACAGTAAATTTAGGAGCTATTTATCACTGTTTAACATGCAGTCAGAGTTAAGCTGGGTTTAGAGTATAGCCATGCCCTTCCCTGGCCTACCCAGTCCTTCAGGAAGGAGCCGGAGATGAGGGTTGTTGTGTGTAGGACCTAAAGTAAGATGAGAGCTGACCCTCAACTTCTCCCATCCTAGCCAGAGCCTGGTTTTGGTGCCTCCTTCTCAAAGGGACTTAATTCTAGCTGGGGTGACTGGCCCTCTGACTGCAGGAGTCAGGATAAAATGCCTCTATTCCCTGTACCAAGCTAAGAGTAGTGATATCTAGGCTGAGGTGAAATAAAATACAACTTTAGGGAGGTTCCATGATAACCTTTGAGCAGCTAACAGGCTGTGGTGGAACTGTTTTACCCTAAAAGAGAGTGATAGGCTGGATGGTCTCCTACATGTCCCAGATCCTGCTCAGCTCCTTGCAAGATTGAGAGAGGATTTTGCCAAGAGTGGTCCTGCTACTGTAAGTCTGTAATCCATTGGTGAATTATACTGAGCAGTAACAGGTTTATCCTGATTTTTCTCCACAAGCCAGAGAGCTGCTGGATTCTGCACCATGCTGTCCACCCAGAGGCACAGTACCAGCATTCTGACCAGAAAGGAAATCCTGGAAAATGGGTTCTTGGCCAGCTCCTCTAGCCATAGCTATTCTTCTCCTGTTGTGAGCTATTACAGGGACTCTGGCAGTGCTTCCAAACACGACACCTGGGAGCTTCCTGTGGACTTGGACAATGCAGCAAGTGGCAGTTCTCTCTGTGTTGTCAAGCAGGCGGAGTCTCTGAGCAGCTGTGTGAAGACTGAGCTGCACAGCCTGACCCAGAGCATCTCTGACCTCAGTCTTGTCTGCTTCTGTAAGGCCCACCGTGGCCAGACCACCTTTGAGCTGTCTGGTTTGCCCTGTGAGCACCCCAGCAGAGATGGCTGCCTGATGAATGCGGCATCACAGAACACCTCGACGCCTTGCAAGAAAGACAAGCACTCCAAACCACTGGAGAGCCTGCTCTTCAAGAGCTCTGAGCTGCCTGGAGATGTCTCAGCACTTGGGAAAGTGCCAGCACCCAGGTGGGACATCTCAGCAATAAAATCCTTTATGGATACCAGCATGTCCCTCGATGTCAGCACTGAGGAGTTAAGCTTACTGGGATGCTCCAAACCAGACACATCACCCCTGGAGACCCCTGTGGTGATTCCTCTGGCTTGGCCTGGTGCCTTCAAGAAGCACTCCACGCTGATCCGCAGGTCTGCCACCCAGGAGAGCCAGCCGAGCGACCCGGATGCTGTCCCTGTGGTTCTGCACAATGCTCTGTGATGCTGCTGGATGCCTGCTCCCTCCTGCGAGGAGCAGGGACCCACGCTGCAGCACAGAAGACGGAGCCAGCGGCTTGAGTGGTGATGGCAGCAGCTGGTGACAAGCTAAATCCGCCCACCTGGGGCTGCCGAGTCGGCACTGGTGATGGGGAACGTTTGGGCTGGTGATGGCACACCCGAGAGCCGCAGCCTTGCTGGCTCCTCCTCCCCGATCCCTCTGTTTTGTATGAGCACAATAAAGATACAAACAAACTTCTCTCTGCTGGTGGTCTCTGACTCTCGCTGCCCTCCCACCTGAACACCCAGGGCTGGTACAGCCCCACAGGGCGCAGCCCGGTGCAGAATCCTCCTAGCCGGCCGTGCCCGAACCCTCGCCCCGCCCGCCCCCGTTACCTGGCGGAGGGCTCGGGGCGGGTCCCGGCGGAGGAGGGGCAGCGGGACGCGGCTGCAGCCCCGGGGCCGTGGCTGCGGGGCCGGCGCTGCCCGCCGGGAGCGCGGGGGGGCTGCGGATCCCTCTCCGGTGCACCGGGAAAGCACAACCGGGGAGCGGCCCCCGGGCACGCCCGGCCGGGCACCCGCCTGCCTCATGCACGGTGACACTGCTTGTCCCGGCCACCGCGCAAGGGGTGGGAAGGAAAGGAGCCCAGGCCATCGCACCCACCCATTTGAGATTTTTCACACTCTCCCGTTAGATCTCGCCCCATTCACACAATCCTGATTTTCCTCTCCTGTCCCTGCTTACAGCAAAAGGAGGAGGAACTTGTTAAAACCGCTTTTCAGGATATTTACGGTTTGCTGAATAACCAGTGTACTGTCCCCCTCCTTTTTAGGGGTAATCAGTTATGCTGCATGAGAGGACAGAGAAAAAAAGAGAAAGCAGCAAGAGTTGCTTGTAACCAACTTTTATCAATCACAGCAATAATTTTATTAATATATAAACTCCTTCATTAGCTATGTGCCCAAGCTGCTCCCTCTGGCCTCACCTCACCTCTTGAAAGCACTCACCTACTTGTACTCCTTCGAAATTCTGTCAGTCAGCCATAAATTTTACATGTATCACACTCCCCCGACTAAAGTGTTTCTAGTTACAAAGTAAGTTTAAATACTTCCAGAGGGCCAAAGGCACAGCTCTGAAAGAGAGGTATGAGCTACATGTATCCCACGCTAGCAAAAAACCATAAATTCAGTGAAAAAAATTGTTCTTCAGCTGTCAGAGAGGCCTCGGAGACACCGAGAAAACAGGGAGCTGCTTGTATCCCCTGGCTGCTCACATGGCTTCTTTTAAACCATGTTACAACATCAGGAACAGGTGACAAAACAACTTGAAACAGGGCTGGGAAACAGAAGTTATTTACAGTTTGAAGTATAAACACCCCAGAGTACAAACCAGAGCTAAAATTAGCAAGAGGAGCACTCAGGGGCTTGGTTCAGCTGCAGCCTGTGCTGGCTGACTGATTGCTATTGATACTGCACAGGAGAAGAGATGAAGCTTGTTGTGTAAATCTGGAGCTGGAATGTACAAAGTGCTCTGGGTGACAGACACAGCCATGGCCTTAAAGGAAAACAGAGGAATAAATGAAAAATTTCCAACGTGCTGCTGTGAAAGGGGAATGGCTGCAGTGGAGGAAGAGATACAAGCACTTCTGCTAACATTATATTAGCACATCTCAACTGATCAGGAGATTTGGGGCACTCCTTTAGAAAAGCTTGTGGCAAGATGCTATGTGAAGCATGAAGAAATGTAAAATAGAAGATATTTGGGGAGAATAAAAAGATGAACAGATTTTTTGCAGAATTTTACAAACCATGGCAGAGCAAGGTAAAGCACAGAAGTCATGGAAGGCCTGAGTGGGGGAAGAATTTAACAATTTGAGTGTAGACTGACAGCCAAAAGAGTCTTTAAAATGCAATTTCACCATGTTAATATAAAAAAATATCCTTGCAATAGAGGTGTGGTGTTGATGATGCTGACAAATCTTTTCTTCTCACCACTGATCTCCTTGACTCTATTTTTGCTGTGCATTGAGCTTCAACATTTCATGGTCAATGAATTTAACCTGGATTTTCACTCCTGTGCATTCCTGAACTCACTACCTCAGGGAGTGAGCCAGATATCAAATAAATGGAAGTAAAAATATTCATGAGTTTCTGTGCAGTATCACAGTTTCTTAATAATGATCCATTAAATCTTAAGGTTTTCATCCATGTGCTGTCCTCTCTTTTTAAAATTCTGTCTGCTAAAGTTCCAGTCTGCTATAAGGCAGCAATTGCAACAATGTCATTATTGCTTAATTTCAAATCCTCCCCTCCCTTGGAAGAAATGTTTTCTTTCTACAGTAACAAACTCACCTCTCCTTAGTTCTCTTTGGCAAAGAGACAAAAGGAGGCTGCCTCAGGGTGATAAATGTATTTTCAGCAGCTCCTGTTAAAATTATGGCTCTATTTTTTTGACCTCAGCTCACAAACCAAAATAACAACCCTTCTCACAGTGTAATTAAGGATTTCATGTACACCAGGAGAACCAACAGAAAGACTTAACTACAGGAAAACAAATGCTGGAGCCAGAAAGAAGGACCCCAAACACATTCTCTTGGTATATTATTTTTTAATATATTAAAAAATTACAGTTTCAATAAAGAAGTAGAAAAATAAGAAATTCTTTGGAAAGTGCTTGTAAAATACAAGCAGTTCCCCAGAAGGCATTAATTATCTGAACTACCATACATAAATGATCCAAGCATCCGGTGAACTACTGAGACAGTCCCAATCAATACACTGAGAAGAGAGACTTTAAAAATGGAAAAATATACTTTCCCTAAAAGGTCTATCTCAAACTGGGGAAAGCCAGGTCTCAGGTACTGTTCTGGAATCCAGCTTCACTTGGGTCAGTATCATGTTCCTTAAGTAAGAGAAGAGGAAGGAAAAAAAAAGAAGAAATAAGAGTTTTAATAACAGGGTAGAACTGTAAGATTTTTGATTTAAATAGATTACATGTGAAACAGGCAATTCATGTTAGCACAAACTGCAGCTCTGCCATTATGCTCCAAACACACTTTGAAGCATTAAATTTGCTATGAAGAATTCTTTCAGCACAGCTGCATTTCAGTGCAGCCCCTGAGGAGCAATGCTGGTCACCTCTGCACTGCAGCACTGGCCAGAGCTGTGAACATCCTGAGGACTCCCTGCTCTCACTCAGGCACCAGCAATGAACTGGATTTAGCTGCAATTACAACCCACACTTGTATGTACTAATCCCCCAATTAAAATAAATGAGAGACTTAATAAATTGAGCAGTACATGTTTTATGGAGATTAACAGCCATAAGTACTCTGGATCACACTTCACTGCTCTCATTTATTCCACAGCTAATGTCTTACATCACCTCTTGCCTGTGACAAGTGTAGCTGCTACAATGACACACCACCCTCACTGCTGCTACAACCAACTACTCACTGGTAATTGTTATTAAAAATACCTGATTCAGTTTCTTAAACTCAACCACTTGGAAGAAGATGTGCTCCAGGATATATTTGGCATCTTGCTTGTCCTTTGGGAGTTCACTGGTCACTCCCAGGATGTCGCCGCATTTCCGCACGTAGAACTCCAGGTCATCGTCAGTGCCTGAACAAGCACCCAGGGAAGAAGGCAGGTGAGTGTCACACATCTGGAACAGCTGGCCAAAAACCTGCTCTGAATCTCCATTTGCTGTTGGCATCCTGGGAGGTTCAGTCCCATCACTAAGCTCAGTGGACTAGCCATGATGTATTCCTGCATCCTACCTGCTCATCTTTATGTGTTTAGAATAATCTTAACATTTTAACTTCAAAGCATAAAAAGGATGTGAAATTTATCAGCCAGAATGCACAAAGCAATTTATGCACAATATAGGAAAGAGCAGGCAGAAACATGATAAAATGTCATGTAACAGACAAAATATAATTTCATGGTACATAAAGTCGCACTATTAATTTCCAAAGCCTTTCAATTTCTTAGATCAGGATAAAAGCAGTAGATTTTCCAAATAAGGTCCATGCATTAGAATTAAATATGATAATTTTCCCCTGAAAAAAATGGACTTTTATTTTAAATGTGCAAACAATCTGCTCCACTTACATTTGTTTGTGATCTCTGCAAGACGTGCTTTCTCTGAGGAAAAAGTTTCATCCAAGTCAAACAGCTCCAGAGCAGGAGGAGGCAATTCTTTGAAAGCAGGTGGAAAAACCTTGGAGAGAAACAGCAGCATGGTTGATTGCCACATATTTTTCTTATAGTTTATAGATCTCTAAGACAACAGTTTTGACCTTATATTGGACTTGAAGAAACACTTTAAAAAGTCAAAAGCAACTCCAACTGAACCAAGGGGCCCCATTTGAAAATCCCATTTTTATGTTGTAAAAATAACTGAACATTCCAAAAGAATTTAGCCACATGTATGCCAGAATCATCACCCAGCATCCCAACTAGACTTTTTACTTGCAGTTTCAGTTTTGCTCCATGAGACCCAGGTGATGGCTGAGAGCTGAGGAACTAAATTAGCCCTAACACCTCACTCTGAAAACATACTGACATCAATTCTGGTCAGAGAATTTCTGTTTCATGCAGGCACCATTTATGTCACAAGCTGAACTTGGGTTTTTAAAAAGCAGTGAAGGAGACACCACTTTCAGTTGCACTCCTGAAGCTCTAAAGGATCCCAGTGATGCTTTCTCAGTGGCCAGGGTAAAGCAGGGTGGAACAATGGTGGCAAAATTCAGATACTCAGAGATTCCTGCCTTCTGAAATGAGTTTGACGCCCCCATAGCTCACGTTGTTGCTGTCAGCCCAAACATTGCTGGTTAAAGTTTGATCAGCTCCTGCTGTAAAAGAGCAATGCTCCACTTTCTGCTTCCCCTGAGGATCTGGGAGATGGAGGCAGAGCAGGACAGACTGGCTCCTCCCTGGCAACAGGCACTGCAGAACCTTCACCAGCACAGCTTTCTCAAATACCACATCCTGTTTTCA